CTGAATGTGGATGCATGGAGGGAAGGAGAGGGAGATCAATATAGATTAATCAATACTGGTTCTTACGCATCAAGGTGCATGAGTTTCAGGTGATGGCACCTACCTACTTTACGTATAACATTACTGTCTTATGGCTATTTTTAAAATAAAAATCCTTTCCATGACGACTCCACATGAAGCTGAAAGGAGTAAAAGCCTTTCTTGAATGCTAACACTGACACACAACTATTACAACGTGAAAGCGTGTTCACATTTTGGAACAACATATCTACTGACAGGTCAGCCACTTGGCCTACTAAGAAATTGTTACTAACTCAATTATTCACTTTGAAATAATCCTTACAAGTGCAAACACTTCACTAAAAAATAATATTTTTGCGAGAACTGTCACAAGTACAACGATGGTCAACACTCAAAAAAGTAAGACATGACAACAAACTTGAGTATCAATAATTGAATGGTTTCCTCTCTTCCCACAGACACACAATATCCGAACTTCTTCCTTACCACTTCCCCAAGGGAGGCAGCCACCATGTGCGCGGCTGGAGTCAAGTACGGTGCAGAGCCATGGTGCAGCACAGATTTCACATTCTCATAGGTGATAAAAAATGCAGCAGCTGAAATTCAAGAATAGATACAGTCACTTAACTGCTCCTCCATCACAGAATTAGTACAAAAACATTTAGAGGTGGATTTTGTCACCTATTGTTCTACAGCTGCAGTTGAAAACAGACTATTTTTGTCCCAAAACAATGCAACAGTATTAACACAATCCCTAGAGTAATTCCTTCAGAAGTTCATGCTCCTGCCTACCACTGGCAAACCTCCCACTGATATCAAAGCTGTCAGGACTTAAGGCCATATTTAGTATCAAGACAAAGAAAGATGTGTTAATTAGTCAGGAATGTCCAGCAGGTTTGGAAAAAATGGTATCTCACATATTCATAGATAGGAAAGGCAGAGAGGAGGTTGTATGGTTGAATTGGATAGATGGTCTTTATTTTCTGGAAGGAAAAAAAAAAACAACAAACCACCACACCACAAAAACATCCAACCAAATCAGTTGATAACTGAAAAAAAAAACAACAACAACCAAAAATCATAAAGGTATTCGATACAAGTCTTCTACCCTGCAATGTGCAAAACTGTTCCAGTAGCAGTTATTAATAACTTCTTCCTAGCTATCGTCAGTTCAATGTTTTGGATTTTAGCTCTATAAAAAAAAATTCTTCCAAGCTTCTGAAGGCCTTGTGAAAGTCCTGTCCAGTGAACAAGAAACACACGAGACTAAATTGAACACAGTAGCATGAGCTGTGTTTACTCACTGCAACAGTCAAAGGCACTTGCACCTTAAGGGTTACTCCTTCTCCTACAGATAATTTCATTTCTCAGTCATACGTTGAAAAGATAAAACCACCGTTCAGATTTTGAAGATGTAAAACCTGAAAAAACTGACATGTCTTGCGGGGGAACAGATTTTAATTGTAAAGAAGGGCTATGTGAATTGCCTCCTGCTAATCAAAAGATGCTTATCACCTCAAAAGGAGATAACAGCAGGCAAGATAAAGAACTGAATTTTTTTATATCATCTTATGAAGGACATCAAACATCTGAAGGTGTCAGTGGATTTGTCAGCAAAGTTCTCCTAACATTCACTACTAATGGCATAGCTTGCTACTTTTTTAATCCCTCCCTACAAAGACAAAACAGACAAAGGCATTCGGAATTTTAGATGCCTTTTCTCTGCAGGGACTACAAGCATTTACTGTTTTAAAGTTTCAGTTTCAAAATGAGAAGACATCAGGAATACTTCTAAGTGTTACAGTTGTTTCCAGGGAGAAAAAGATGGGCATGGCATCCCCAGAGTAATTAGCTCAAAGACCTCCAGTGCTCACACACTTCGAATTTTGATTAATTTCCAATGCCACGAAAGAACGGGTCATGACAAAAGCGTCCAGGGCAAGCAAGACTCAATCCTTCCTTGGCACCCAGAAATGCTTTAGGGTCCCCCTATACATAAGGACAGGCTTATAAGACATATCCAGGAACATTTCCAAGGAGTAAGGCTTGCTTTTCAGAGTAAACACGGAGCAGCCTTCATTCCAGGCTTGCTCAAAGAGTTTGTTCAATACTGTACAATTCTAGAAACTGCTCTTCACAGCTGGACACAGATTCACAGAATACAAACAGCCACCTACAGGAGTGGAAGCCCCAGACATCAATGTCCTACACTATGTAAGTTCCCACTTAAAGATGACAAAGCATAATCCAAAGAAAATTTACCATTTGGAAAGGATCCTATAGCAGTGGAAGGAACACCAGCATAGATGCCACGAAAGCCACCAGCCTTCCTAAATCCTTGGGGACTCTGCAGTCTGGTTTTTACAGTATCCAGGGGAAAAAGGATCAAGTCAACACAGACGCCAGCAACTCCACCAGCCTTCAAGACAAAACCATGGAGTAAAGTACATCAGTATTCACAGGGGTGTATCTGTGGTGCTTGTGTGAGCAACTGAGGCACGCCTAAACCAGAGCACTACTGACCGTAGCTTTTCGGAGGCCAAATTACAAACCCACAGTCTTACACAGACCTCAACAGCTTCTACAGCTATAAGAAGGAAGCTTCGACATGAGAGAAAGTAATGGATATCACCACTTTCAAACCATATCCAAGGTATTTTCAAAACAGTCTCTGTGGTTTGAGTAGTAAAAGCATAGCAATGCCACACTGACCCCCTACACATAAAAGCAAGACAGCGAATGCCACTTATGGAAATGACAGAGCACAGAACGACCAACAGCACAAGGAAGTTGCGTGGTGAGACCAGGGAAAGGCAGAAGCACCTCTACAAAGCACATTGACAATTTGCTAGCAAACTTCTTCATTTCAAGTGTTACCCCCACATTTCCTTTGTTGAACAAAGCCTAAAGTAAAATGCTCTATTTCTTTTTACTAACAAAAGCCTACAGGAAAAAAAAAAAATCATATTAAATAAAGATGTTTTCAAAGTCATATGGAAAAGGGGAAGCTTTTTATCCAAAGCAATTCTTAAAATAAAATCCTGAAACAAAAAATAGTTTCAACTAAAGCTCAATCTTTTTCCATTGCCTGTGCTTTTAGATGACAACTTTTTTTTTAAGTTTCCCCAGGACATGGCTGATCTGTAGAAAAGACTTGCTTGTCAAAAACAGGGAGAGACTGAAACAAATAGAAAAACTCATTTCAAAAAATAAGAAAAGAAGAAAATAACAGTAGTTGGCATTAATCCATTATGAGACATTATTTAGATGCACTGTTATTCAGAACAAAAAACAGTTTTAAGTCTACCTCATATAGAGCAGCACATAAGAAACAGCTGCTCAGGTTTTTAGCTGTGCCTGAAAACAAGTCACACATGTGTTACTCTGATTTTTTTTTTTTTCAGGGCCAACAGAGGATTCAGAGAGGTGTTCACTATCTTCCACTAAAGTTTTAATCAATAAGTTAATTACTCTTTTAATCTAGTTGGCTATTTTGCATGCATTGATTTTCCTTCACTCTTTTTCATCCAAACCCTTATCTGCTGAAAACAGCATCGATCAGATTTAACCTAGCCATCTGTTAAAACACGAATCAAAAGTTACTAACGGCTTCTTCAGTTTTCAAAGTTCTGTGTCTTAAATGTCGTTTAAATTCATGGAGCAGCTGACAGAGCACCTGCCCGAGGGCGACAAAGCCTGGGTGCTTACGCCACCTGCAGAGAGAAGGATAATCTTTGGATAATAAGGCAACTAAAAGGCACCTTCTCCCCACCTTTAGGAACAGCAGCATTCTCATTTCCAAACAGCTAGAAAGCGTTTGCCAGGAGTGTGGCACACCCGTTAAACTTAACTCCATCGGAACGATTAACCAAAAGCAGCAGGAGCGTTTGGGGCCGGAGCCGAGCTCTTTTCACGCCAGCCCAGGGCACCAAGTCCAGCATTTTCCACACAGCACCGAGAGGGAGCGCTGGATATTCCCAAGGAGGTCCCTA